CTCCTTTGCATATTAGGCCACACACCCCTAATGTAGCCAATCCTCCAAGAGCTTACAGAGCTCTTCTTACAGGAGCTACTGTAAGCTCTTGGAGGATTGGCTACATTAGGGGTGTGTCGCTTAATATGCAAATGAGTACCTGCTACAAAAAGAGCCTGTTGGCCACTCCTGATTTCCTTAACTGTCATTAGCTCTCTGCAGCCTCCTGTAACTGTTGGGGTTTTTTTAACCTCAGAACACTGAGCTCTGCAGCTGACCAATCAGAGAGTGTGGGGTGCAAGGAGGCAGCAGCCTGGCAGCCACATAGGAAGCAACGGGGGGAGCACATTTTACCCCTTTTGACACCCTTAGGGGTTGAATTTCTAAAAATCCCTTCTTAGTGAGCATCTATATCCTGGTAGGAGTGCTCTCCCCGAATTTCATGTTTCTAGGACCAAGGGTCTGGCCTGGGCGTTGATTTTACAGTGAGGGGACTTTCTTTTATATTTATATAAATATATAGATGAGTCACAGGTACAGACTAAAAAATCCACAAGGGGTGAAGGGAGTTGTCTGAAAACATGAGGGAAACCCTGGGATTGCAGAAAAAGCAATCAAAAGCCTGAGAATCTTGGAAGTGGATGGAAGGAATTCCACCCCCTGCAATTCCTTGCAGGGGACCACCTTAACCAGTAACTTCCAGCATGAACAAAATGCTTGGGAATACCTAGCACTGAATGAATTGGAGGTGGGAGGGAGCACACATTTATAGAAAGGGTTTAAATCAATCCCACCTTCCCACCCAATTCAGGGTCCCCCAATATTAAAACATGTCAAACATTAAAAAGCATTTAAAATACATATACATGGTCAGGTAGGTTCATATGTAGGCAGTCCTTCAGATATGCCAACCCCAACCTGCATAAGGCAGGGGTTAAGCTTTTGGAATGTGAGGACACCTTTTTAACATCAAAAATGTCATGCCCCTCCCCCCGATAATGGTTGCACCATTAGTATCCACTGATTTAAGAAAACGCATAATGACAAAAAGATCAAAATGAAGACGCTTACTGCAGGTGTGGCTTCATGGACCACTTGCAATAACTCCATTGCACCCCCCCCAAGGGTCTCTGGTCCCCAACGTGGGAACCACAATTGTAGGACTTGAACGGTCAATAACCAGCACTTTGAATTGGCCCTGGAAACAAGTTGGGAACCAGCGTACATGAAAGCTTGGGAGTGATATGGTCCCTATGACCAACTCCAGTCACCGTTCTGTACCATCAGTAGCTTCCGGACAGTCTTCAAGGGCAGCCCCATGTAGAGCGCATTGTAGTAATCTAATTCAGATGTCAGCAGGGCATGTACAACACTGGCAAGATCCTTTCTGCCCAGGAAACAGCTGCAGCTGACTAACCAGCAACCGTTGATGAAATGTACCACTGGCCACTGTTGCTACCTGGTTATCCAAGAGGAGGCCCAGATCTAGCAACACCCCTGAGGAATGAACTTGATCTTTCTGGGGAATGCAACACATTCAGAGCAGAAGACATCCCATACACATGCCTTCTCTGTTGTGGCCCCCACCTAGTGGAACGGCCTGCCTGAGGAGGTCAGGAAAGTTCCTACTCTCTTGGCTTTCTGCAAACTATGCCAAACTGAATTATTCAAGATGGCTTTTCCGTGCAAGCAATAGAGCTACACTGTACGGAATGATTCATAGTTACTTGGAAAAATTAGGGACTGTGGTCTATGTTACTGTGTATAGCTTGCTGAAACTAGGATCCTACTATGGAATTTCACAACATTTAATGAAGGGGTGTTAAACATACGGCCTGCAGGCCAGAACCAGCTCCTGCAGGGCTCCTATCTAGCCTGGTCTGCTTCCTGATTCCTGCATCGCAGTTTGCTTTTGCCCAGCTCTCCTCTCCTGCTTCTTGCTTCGCAAGCCAAGCCTCCCTTCCCTTGACTGGCTGAGTGCTCCTCCCCCTCCTCCTTTAGGAAGAGAGTGGGAGGGAAACAGCCAGACAGAGAGAGAGAGATCCCCCTTTCCATACAGGGGAAAAAGAAACCTAACAGCACAGCTTACAATCTTTATTAGTGGAAAAGAGCAAGAGTCCGGGGGGGTGGGGGGAGTCCCATGGCATCTTTAAGACCAACGAAGTTTTATTCCAGGTATAAGCTTTCATGTGCACACACACTTCAGAGAGAGGGAGGGGGAGTGAAAGAGCCAGAGAGAGATCCTCCTTTCCAGTTCTAACATATGGGGGGGGGGAGGGAGAAACCTAACAGTACAGCTTGCAATCTTTATTAGTGGAAAGGAGCAAGAGTCCAGTAGCACCTTAACAATGAACAACATTTGTGGCAGGGCATGAGCTTTCATGAGTCACTGTTCACTTCTTCAGATACAGCTAGAACGTGAGTACTTCTGTCCTTATATCTTGGAGCATGAAGTGATTTCAGAGGCCAAATGACAATAGCAGGCATTGGGAACGAGAGAAGAAACCCAGGTCTCAGTTCAGTCCAGGAGGATGCATTGTCTTGAGCTTCATTATCAGTTGCAATTCAGCAGTCTTTCTTTCTAAACGCGCTTTGAAATTCCTTTGTAAGAGAGCTGCTACTCTTAGGTCAGCAAATGACTGTCCTGGAAGGTTAAAATATTCTCCCACTGGTTTTTGAATGCTGCGGTTTCTAACAGCAGTAGAAAGAGCAAGAGTCCAGCAGCAAGAGTCTAACAAAATTTGTGGTAGGGTATTCTTTGCATCCTCCTGGACTGAATCCTCCAGGACCTTAGTTTCCTGTCTCATTACCAAAGCTGATTATCTCCACACTTACTACCCCTCTGCATATCACACCTAATCCAATCAAGCCTGCTACTGCCATTTGGCATCTGAAATAATCTTTATAAAGTTTATATCTCCAGTACATTCTGTTACATTTTATGGCACACATGAGTTGGCCCGACAAAGTGACATTTATGTCAGATCTGGCCCTCATAACAAATGATTTAATGTATCACGTGAATACTTATGCTTTGCTTCAGCACTGTTTTTAGACTTCTGCTTGGTTCTACAACCCTAATCCTATTGCACTGCGTACTGAATGTCCCATCCATCAATTGTATTGACTCATTCTGTATTATCTGCCTTCAGTTCAAGAAAAACAGACTATAAATAACGTAAGTAAATAAATAATCCTAGTTCCTACATCAGACCCCCCCCCATCAGTAGCACCTCAGTTTGTGGGGAACTGAGTTTCACCTTAGATTTAGGTGGGTAGCCACTGGTCTCAAACTCAGTTCTCACATCTGTTTGTTAACTCTGGTATTTGTATGCTGATTTACTGCTATTCACAGATCTTACCTAAAGTTTTAGAATCCAATCTCAGCTATAATCACCAGTTTACTTATGCATCTTGACTAACTAGCCCTTCCTGACAACTAAACCCCCCACATCTTGTAATGGTTAAGGACATCTTGTTTCACTGTACCTGAAGAAGTGTGCATGCACACGAAAAGCTTATGCCTTGAACAAAAGCTTATGCCTTGAACAAAACTGGACTAAACTTTGTTCTGAGTTTTACCTTGTTAGTTTTAAGGGCTATCAAACGATATATTCCAGTTTAGGGCACCGCAGCCACTCCTTACCGGTCCTACTATGTCAGAGACGTGAGAGACTGTCGTTCCCGAGGCTGCTCCCAGGTACAGCACTTTGGCGCCGGGTTTGATGTGGATCTGATCGATGCCTCCAAGGATAGCGGCAGCCAGTTTGGAGCGGAAGGGGTTCCAGGCTCGGTATTCCACCTTCACTTCCCCATCCTGAAGAGAGAAAGCATTACCTATATTACAGGACTTCCAATTTTGGATCGGCAAGTCAGAAGCACCACCCATTCCCAGAATGTCCCCCTCACCAATCTTGTGGTATTTACATCCTCATTTTCAGACAACTGTCCCTCAAAAGGGCTCTCACAGCAACCAACAGATGCAGGGCTCTAAACAGATGCAGGTCAACCTGGCCCTATTTCTAGGCCACTTAGCACAAGGGAAAAGGCGCAGAAGGCAAAGATACAATTGACACCCCACATCCCAGCTAGTTGCTTCTGAGATAACTTAAACAAAATAAATTGAACACAGCTAGAAATTAACCCAGTTCTTCTAACTACTGCTCAATAGTAAAGACCTTGTTCTTTCCCCCCCACCTTTTGGCGAGGTGGATGGCTGCCAAAAGGAGTCCAAGGGGACAGTGACAATATGGTTTGGTGGGCCCAGAGAAAGGGCCTTTGTTCTCTCTCCTCCTGCAGGGGCCTGATTTTACTGCCTCCCCTCACTTACAAGCAAGCCACATACTCCCTTACCACGCCACCCCCTGCCCATTCCTCCAAGCCGCCCACCTCCACGGAAATCCTCTTCTCTCCGTACACAGACTCGCCTGGTACTAGATTCCGGGTCACCAAGGCATCCTCTTTTCCCCGGCAGATGAAGACACCTGCAGATGTGGAAGAGAAGAGGTTCTGGATTATTTAGACAAAAGATAGGCTTTGCATTAGTTTTGCTGTGGCGAAAGACAATGTCACGCATCTAACCACACCGGACCAAAGACTTAAGCATCATTATGCCTTCAGAAGAGGTAGCTGCAATTCAGCCGCTCTCCCCCAATGCTATTCCTAAGGATCTGGTGATCTCCCAGAAGCAATGTTTCAGGGGACTGCAACCAAAGGGGGAAACAGGAAGGTCCAGCTTGGCAAAGTCTGCCAATGGTGGAATAGATACCAGTGCTCTGCGGCCAGCAGCTAGGGCCAGGTTCACACATGCGTGGGAATAATATTGCAAAAAAACCCCCAACATCCGACTTCAAGTGGAGATCTTCACTTCAGAATGCTCCTCTGTTTCAAAGATGCCTGCAAACACAGAAACCAGGACAGCAAGACATGAGGAGAGGCAGAACCTCTCTCCGTGCTATGCCAGCTTTGTCTCTGCACAGGGATTTTACTTTTTTCCCACCATAGAGAACAATGGAGGGAATAAGGGCAACCTGTTTGAGGGCCCGTAGAATTGGACCCCCTGGTCCAATGCTCTTGAAACTTGGTTGGTATCTTGGGGAGAGGCTCCAGCAGCTACCCTGCGAGTTTGGAGCCTCTCCCTCAAGCCCTCTACCCTCCACCCCCCAGAATATACCCTATGTTTTCGCCATTGACTTCAATGGCCTATAGGATATAATGGGACCGAAATTGACATTCGAAAGACTCCCGAATGGGCTCTGTAACGATTTCATGTTTTGTGTGTTTGTGTCTTTAAAAGTGGTTTGCATGGATGTGTGAGGATAATGTAGAATGCTGGACAGGCATGTGGTGTGATTGGTGATTGACAGAGAGGGGGAGGGAGGATAAGAGATGTCAAGTCAAGAGTGTCAGTTGAAGGGTGTCTGTTAGTTATGAGATTTGAAAAAGACAATTAAACAGAGTGTCAGCAGAGAGTGCTGTGTGAAAGCAGTTATAAGTTCTGTCTAGTAAAAGAGTTAAGCAGTTTGTTCGTTTTAAGGTCTGAGAGAGAGAAGTCTTGTGTGTGTTATGAAAAGTTAAAGCATAAAGAAACAGTAACCATATATGGTCTAAGGAAAATATTGTTACAAAGCGACATGCCCAGATCCCTGTCAGTAAGAGGGAAAAGTGTGTGAAACATCCAATAAATCTACTTTTATTTAAGATAACAGTTCTGAACGAAATTCTTCTCAGGAAACACATAGTCCTTCGAAAGCCCAGACCCTGGGTCACAATACCAAAACCAGAAGAAGAAAATATTATAGAAATAGGTGTGGGAAAACCTAAATTTCCCTGGTGGCAGCCAGATTACCCATAGGAAAATAAAACATAAGAACTTTTAAAGGTAAACCAGACCTCCCCAAATAAGAGGTTGTCACAGGCTCCTACTGACGAAACTGACATGCAGGAGTCTTACTGCCAGCCGAAACTGATTCTGCCCGATTCAGCCGAATCCAAATGGGCCGAATTATTTTTTTTTGCACAGCCATAATCCCTAGCTAGCAGCATTACTGTATAAGAGGAAGCTTCTGCATTACTTATACAACCGAGGCTGAAATGCTCTGTGCACTTAAAGTAAATCCCAAATGAACTTCATGGGATTTATGCCTGAATTCGGCTCTTGATTTGAAGAGGAGATTGGATTTATACCCTGCCCTTCACTATCCAAGGGAATCTCAGAGTGGCTTACATACACCTTTCCCTTCCCCTCCCCACAACAGACACCCTGTGAGGTAGGTGGGGCTGAGAGAGCTTAACAGAAACTGCTCTTTTTCAAGAACAGCTCTTGTCAGAACTACGGCTTGCCCAAGGTCATCCAGCCAGGTGTAAGTGGAGGAGTGGGGAATCAAACCCAGTTCTCCCAGATTAGTCAGTGCACGTAACCACTACACCAAACTGGCTCTCCTCTTAATGCAAATATTTGAAACATTGGCTACCAAGCTTTCTAAACTGAACGGAGAGCTAATGCCCGTTTTACTGAGTTTTAAGCTACTTCAAGGCCTTGCTAAGAAGCTGGGTGGATGTTTGAACAGTAAGAGTATCAGGGCCTGCAGAAGCAAGCAGCTCTGCAAGCCCTCACATCCAGATATTGGGAAGCTACCCTGCAGAACTCTTATTGATGGCATTTTAGTGTTTTTTTCCAAAGGAAGCCTCCAAGCATGTAATAATCTAGGAAGCCTCCAAGAAGATTTTTTCACAGCAGAAAGAGAGCTTCAGACTAAAGAGACCAGGGTTCAGTCTGAAGACGTGTAACACAGCTATCTTGCTGTGACCAAGCTGGTCTGAATCTGGTGGTACGGACAATTCAAAACCGTTTATCTCTCAAAAGACTCAAAGCAGTTGCTCTCTCGGAATAAAAAGAAGCCTGTTTCTTTTGGGTCATCTTAAAGGTCAGATTCAAAATGCCTCCTCAAACTGAATGTACAATCTATGACACACTCCAGCCAAGAATGACTTACCTTCATGCCTGTGGGGCTCTACGGTGACCTTTCTGCCACCTCTGAAGCCTCCCCGCCCTCCTCGAAAGCCCCCGCCTCCTCCACGTCCGCCTCGGAAACCTCCTCCACGTCCGCCTCGGAAACCTCCTCCACGTCCGCCTCGGAAGCCGCCTCCTTCTCCTGGAGACCTAAATCCACCTCCTATAGATGAGGAGTGTGAGAATAAGACCCATGAGAACAAGCAAGAGGGGCATGTGGCATAGGTAGAAATAAGCAACAAAGGAATGGGCAGAGAACCTCAAAAGACTACGTGTGGTTCATATGAACAAGGCTAATGGCTCCTGAAATAACACACAGTGCAGGGTTTACCTGATCAGTTGTTCATGTAAATTTTTTTGGGGGGGCCCCGTAGGGGATTTTTTTATTTGCATTTTTCTAAAAACTACTATGAAATTTAGGGAAGGGTCTACAAACTATGGGAGAAAGTAAAGAAAACCCACTAAAAACCCAAGAGATGGTGATCATATATCATGCTTATAAAGTTAGCTTCAGCTTAAAGTCAATTAGAGTTCATTGTCTGTGGTGAATCATAGTCTTCATCCTGTAATCGAAACAATATATAACTCCTGCACATTTGACTTAATAAAGAACAATATAGGAAATAGTTAATATTCATATAACTTTCAAGAAACATTAACAACTCAATATCTATCCTTTTTCTTTCTCAACTGGTAAGCTTTTGGGGAGGCTACCGCCCCAAGATTCAAATCTGAGTCCTCATCAGAAGATGCCACTTCTCCATCTTCGTCACTCTCCTTGGTACTGTCATTTTTCTCTTTATCTTCTTCACCTGCTTGATGGTTATAATGCTGCAAAAACGCCAATGCCTTTTCTGCGGTGTCAATTTTTTCTTTCTTGTCCTTAAATTTGAAGATTATGCCTTTGGGCACATTCCATCTGTAGGTTATGTTATTCTTCTGTAGAAATAGTACCAAGTCTCTGTATTTCTTTCTTTACTTTCTTATTTCAAACAGAATGTCTTTCATAATTTTAATTTCTTTGTCCTTAATCTTCAAGGTAGTTCTACTTGTAGCTTTAGTTGTTCATGTAATTTAATGTACCGTCAGAATGCTATATGATTTAAAGTCATGCCTGAATGCCGCCTAGAAGACCTAAATTTTGGAAAGGCGTAATGCAAACCTTTTGAACAAACCAAACACCATATTGCACACACCAGGTCTTTTCTTCCCCTCAAGCACCCTGCCCAGCAACAAAGAGCATTTTTAAAAGCTAGTACCCCCACCCCAAATACTTATTAAATCCTACCTGACACTCTCCACACCCAATGCATTACCTGTGTCCTGCTTTTATAGTAACAGAAGTTGGGGACCCACAAGAACTTACGGGGAGGATCTCATTTCTCCACCTCCCACTATTTCTTCTTCCTGTTCCCTAAAATCCCCCATAGCCTTTCCTACTACCTTCTGCCCTCATCTTCTGCTTTCCTGCCTCGCTTCCCTCCTGAAGCTTCTGCCCAGGAAAACTATGGCCCAGTTGCACAGTGGAGAACCTGCAAGGACTTACCAGGGGGGCCACTTACTTTCACCTGATCCCCCCCTTCTCACATTATGTCTGCCTCTCTTGATAACCTCCCTTCTTTTCTTCCTTTTCTCCTTCCCATCCAACAACCTTTTTGTTGTTCAGTCACACAATCGAGTCCGACTGTTCGCAACCACACGGACCACATCATGCCAGGTTCTACTGTCTTCCGTCGTGCTCCAGAGTTTGCTTAATTTAATGTTCGTTGCATCGATAACACTGTCTAAAACATCTCATCCTTTTTCTACCTACCTTTGATTCAACTCTCCTATCTTCAGCCATACCTTTATTTACTTCATCTATTCCCACCTTTCACCACAATGGAGATTTAAAGTGGCTTATAGCATGCTTCTCTCCCCCATTTTATCCCCCACCATGAGCTTCCATGTCAGAGGGGAGATTCAAGCCTAGCTGAAAGGTAGCAAGTCACCTAGTGGTGACTGTTGGGCCTAGTCACCATGAGTCCTCCCTCAAAGGCCAAAACAGCCCTCGAAAGGGCTCTGGCCCCTCCTTCTGCCTTTTTATTAACATAAAACAAGGCTTGAAGGCTGGCAGTGGTGTTGTGGTTGCCTAGTAACAGCCACTGACGGCATTTGGTCTTAAAACTATAGGTGCTACTTCTATTATACAGGAGCTTTCTTTCAGGTGTATAGAAACACCTGTCCATGGCTCCAGTATCTGGATTTAAGCAGCCACAGATCTGGTCATATTGAGAATTAGATGTGTTGATGTTCAAAGCAACTATGAAAAATGAAGTCTGCACCAAAAAGAAACCCAACTTGAGCACTGGCACTCGCCCATCTGACCACAACTGATGATACCAAGCAGTTGCAGAAGAACTGCAAACAGAGTACTTTTCTTGAACCCTCTCTGTGCAATGCCACTCACATTCACTGCACCAACAACACGACTACAGAAACACAAGCATTCCAACATGCCCTTCAAACACAAATATTTCCATTTAATCCACCCCCAGCATGCAAATCCATACAGGTATTCTCTCATTTATAACATTTATGAACCTACTGTTCACCTTGGTAACTGGGACCCATGAACCACATGCATAAACAAAACTAGGGCTGCCAAACCGCGGCGGGGGATCCATGCGTCGTCGCAGGATCGCTGCCACGGGGGACAGCGATCCGCGTTGCATTGGCGTCGCCAGGATGTGAAGCTACGCGTCACTCTGGCAACGGGGCTGTTTGGAGTCCCGTTGCCAGGGCGACACGTAGCTTCACATCCTGGCGACGCCGGTGCAACGCGGATTGCTGTCCCCCCCGCGGCAGCGATCCTGCGACGACGCACGGATCCCCCACCGCAATTTGGCAGCCCTGAACAAAACACAAACTTTATTTGTTTAAAGTATCTATATGGCCATCTTTCTCCTGACCATCTCAAGGCCTAAGGCAGGTAACAACTGAAAAGCAGTTTGATAAAACAAACATTGAAACCACTCTAAAAACACTTTAGAGATATTTCCCCTCTGTCCAGGCTCAGATCACCACCAAACCTTTCAGGACAGCTTTCTTGCAGCCTTGCTGGAAAACCAGAAGAGGGAGGTGACCTCTGACCAGAAGGCTGCCCCAGAGGCAGAGGGCAACCACTAACAAAGTTTGTGCCTGGTCTGTTGCGAAACATGCCTTGGATAAATGAAGCCATGAAAGAAAACATTACTAGGAAGGAAGAATAAAGTTGCCACACCAAAGCATGCAGGAAAAGGCAATTCTTCATTTATGGGGGTCGGAGAGCATGAAAGGATTTAACTGTAAGCAGCAACATTTTGAATCGGACCCAGACACCACTCTGCAAGCAGTTTGCACCATCTGAAACGTTATAGTATAAATGTATTTATTCGTTTTAAAATAATCATTAACAACAATTAACATCAAAAGCATAAAACAAGCAACAACAAGAGATAGGTGGAGACAAAGTATGGGAACGTTACAGTATAAATATACGTACCAGCGCAGGCTGATTTTTTTCTAGCAGACACCAAAGCACATCTTAAGCAAAAGACTAACAAATACAAAAGAATGCGAGTGCTTTTTTAAAGCAGGAAGAAAGGAGAGAAATAACCACTCACCTCGTCCTCCTCGAAAGCCTCCGCGTCCGCCGCCGCGATCCCCAAATCCACCACGCCCTCCACGCGGGCTAAAACCTACATAGGTGGAGATGCACGCAAAAAAAAAAATCAGTTAGCAAACACGTGTCTGAGTCCTCCCTCCCGGCCTCCCCAATTCCCACGTGCGCACATTGTCCTACAAAGACAGTAAGAAAATACTTCCACCGACCGTCTTTCCCTCCCTCTCCTCCTTACCGGGCCGCATAACTGGAGCGAAGGTAGGAAAGACTGGCTTCGGAACCACGCGCCGAAAAGTCTTGAAGATTATGCAGAAAACATGCGTAAAAACCTCGGAGGCGCACCGGAAATACGACAGGAAGAATGGGACGCGGGGAATTTGAGAGGATGCGCGCGAAGGTTTGTGGGAAATGGAGTCCGTTTGCACCACGCGCTTGCGCAGTTGTATGGGCGTGTCCTCAGGCGCCACTTGATTCTGGCGTGCCTCCTCCGTCCCACGAGATAGGGGTCGTTGTCCTTTGTTCTAAGGTAGAGTTTAGATTGGTGCCTGCGGGGGTGGGGAATTGTGAATTTTCATACGGTTTTAAAGGCAAGGCCTCAGGTTTAGGAGCTGAAATAGTTAAGGCCAGGTTGCCTTTGAGTAGTATAGAATGCATTCTGGGGCTGCCAGTCTGCAGGTAGGGCCAAAGGATTTTCCGGAATAATATCTCATCTTCACACTACAGAGACCGGTTCCAAGGGTTGTCGGTCCGGGTTGGGAAACACCAGGAGATTTTAAGTGTGGAGCCCGAGAAGGGCGGGACTTCAGTGGCATATAATACTATTAGAGTCCACCTTCCAAAGCAGCCATTTTCTCAAGTGAATGGATCTTTGTCACATGAAGGTCAGCTGTAACAGCGGGAGATCGCCAGCCACCACCTGGAGATTGGTCACCACCATATCAATTCCCTAGAGCAAATAGATGCTTTGGAGGGTGGACCCTATGGTACTGCACCCCACTGAGGTCCCTGTCCTCCCAGGCTCCACCCCCAAATCTCTTGTAGTTTCCCAACCTGGAACTGGCAACCCCCCACCTAGGGAGGACCTGTTAACCCTAAGGCTTTCCATCGCCTGTTAGCCATGTGCACAGCTCTGTGTGAGATCTCACTACACCTTAGTATATCCTCCCTCACAGGTTGTTTTTGGAGCACAGAACTATTCTTCGGTGTCTTTTTAGGAGGTGTTGGATAAAAAAATGTAGGTATTAACCCAGGTCCTGATGGTTTAACAGGGCTTTGGGATGCCGCAGTCACTACAGGTGTCAACTACTTTAACAAAGTTAGCCATTTATTTGAACACATGAATCTGCCTTAAACTGAATCAGAACCTCAGTCCATCAAGGTCAGCAGCTCTCCAGGGTCTCAGGCAGAGGTTTTTCACATAATCTCCTACCTGATCCTTTTAACTTGGAGATGCCAAGGATTGAACCTGGGACCTTCTGCTTGCCAAGCAGATGCTCTGCCCCTGAGCCATGACCCTTTCTCTTACTTATTCCCTTATTTAATTCATTTGTACCCTGCCTTTCTCCCCAATGGTAACCCAGAATGGCATATGTTGTTCTCTCCATTTTATCCTCATAAAGCCATGTGACAGTTAGGTTGACTGTGATTGGTCCAAGATCACCCAGCAAGCTTCCATGGTGGCACAAATGGGGATTTGAACCCAGGTCTCCCAGATACTAGTCAGACACTCTTAATATGCTGTACTTTTCTTGATTGCATTTAAATTTGACATTATCATATGGCATTGTGTGTAGAATAGCCAAGAGTTTCTAAGATTGTCTGGTAGCCATAAGTTCTAGCTCTTTAGCTTTATGCACCACTAGGTGGTGAGCTAGACTTGTTTTTAAGTCAAGAGATGTTTCAGAGCTGGTTTGCCATTGCTGCTCTTCCAAGTACTTGCCAGAGTCAACCCAGCTTAGCTTTCAAGATCTGACGGGATCAGGTTAGCCTTGGCTATCCAGGTCCGGGCTGAATTTGACTTATCTCACCCTGTATTTAATGCCTGTTTGGCACCACCACTTACATTTTCCCCCATTCATAAGCTCTCTCATACACTGCCTAGTGAAGACCTGCTACATGCATCTGTCATAATCGTTCCAGACAGAAGAACTTGTTAAGTCTTTCAAGTGCTACCAGGCTCCTGCTTATTTATATAGTACCTAGATAACAAGTATAACAAGCACTTTGTCGCTGTTTTTCTAGGCCCATCCAAGCTCCTCCACCAACACACCCACTTCCAGTATGCTGATTATGGCAGAAATAAGAATTGCATTATGGCGTTAGTCCTAAATAGGGCCTTGGTAGTGAGTCAGTCCCATGGAGCCCTGTGACCTCTGAGTATACAAGTCTCGGATCATTCCCCACTTCCTGGTTATGGGGTGGGGGGATGTGGAAGCTGAATTTGCACACTGAGCAATATATCCGAGAATTCGGAACAACAAAATAACACCTTTTGATTAAGCTGAAGAGATTAAGGAACAGTGCTAGGGCATCCAACTGGTTGATTTTCAACACAATTGAAAACCCGGTACTTTTGAATGGGGGAAACTTCATACCCCACCTTTCTCCTCTAGGGGACCCAAAGCAGCTCACATCATTCTCCACAATGTTTTACCTTCACAACAACCCTGTGAGGTAGGTTAGTCTGAGAGAAAATGACTGGCCCAAGGTCATCCAGTAAGCTTCTTCTGTGGCAGTGGGGTTTCAAAGCTGGGTCTTCCAGATTCTAAGTCAACATCACACTGACTTGAGGCAATTGTATTGTGAATCTCAGAATGCAAGTTTGGAAGAGGTAGGGCAGACCTGAGTGCAGTTCTTGGTATTCCATGGGGATCTGCTCTAGTGCTTTGTACGCTCTGCATGTAACTAAGGCAAATGTGATAAAAGCATGGCAAGTCTACAGTGTTCACTTCTCCAAAGCCAAGCAACTCACCCCCTGAAACTTTTTATCACTTGGGAAGTGCAGTGTGCAATGACAACAAAAAAAACACAGACATCCAGCACAGTTTTTAATAGATAGGCATGTCATTTTATGGGTATATGTTTAAGTCTTAAACTGTATCCACAACAATCGTACAATGCCTTTGGATCTGCATGATCCAAAGTATCACAAAAGTAGCAAGCTTTTGCATTCACAAAACTCTTGGTCAAATTAGATATTTTGTATAAAAACGAAACATGTTTCAGCACATGGCATCAAAGCACCTATTTTGCAGTTCAAAGTATTAAAAATGGAATACAAAATGTGTTGTTGTCTTGGTGGGATTAAGCGGCGTTGGGTGCAAAACAGTTTTCAAAATGCAACTCTCCTTTTGCGAATATGAAAGTTCCCAGTTAATCAGACATCTCAGTAGCAGTCGAAATACATGGGACTCTTGTATGCAGAGAGCAGAAGGCAAAAATGTGTTAGTCCTTCTGTTTTAACAAAGCAGGAGATTAACTTTAGGCCTGAAGCCAGACGTGCATAGCTTTTTACGTAAAGTTGCAGTATTCAAAAAGATAACACCTGTAGCCCCTCCAGCTTCTGAAGGAAGCTTAACAGTCCTCTCTGTACAGCCGTGGAACAAACTGAAGTCCATTCCATTACTTAACTTTTTTCTCCCAACCTTTACAATTAAACAAACCCCCTTTCGTACATTTTGTTTTGGCCCAGAAATTGGGATCCCCCCCCCGGCCCCGGCTCTAGCTCTCTAAGAGATGCTTTAATAATTTCTGAGGAACACATGGCCAAGTTGCATTCAATTGGATTCACAAACTAATAATGGGCTTCTGAAAAAGCAATTTCTGGGTCTTGATGGCAAGACAGATGACTGCTGTGGATCAGGGCCTTACAACATGCCAGTACCTCCACAGGGAGCAGCTTCCCTACTATAGATCAGGGCTCCTAGGAACGAGGGAGACATGCCTGCCCCTTGGAAAGTACACAAATCTGCCTTCTAGCACTGGTCCAGCTAGTTCAGTATTGTCTATTCTGATTGGCTGCGGCTCTCCAGATTCACAGGCGGAGAGGGGTCTCTCCTGCCTGAGATGTCAGGAATTGGTATTCTACCACAAAACCAGTGCCCCTGCCCAAATGAAGCTGCCTTTTGCTCAAGTCCATGTAGCTCCATATTGTCTACATCAGTGATTTGCAACTGATTGTACATATACCACCAGTGGGATGCAGTCTAGGTGGGACTCAGGGTTTTCTTAACACCTCCTAGTAATTTGCTGTCCTTCAATCTCCCCCTATCCACCTGCAAGGGTGACATGCCATCTCTTGACGACCCTACCTGCCATGGATTATCCAACTGTTAACATTTAGCATGTTAGCAGTAACCATGGGCATTTGGGTGCTTCTCCTAATCCCTGCCCCCATTCCTCATGCCCACCAGCAAGTGTCTTTGAGGTGCCGCTTCCTGCCAACCCTTCCTGCTAGGGATTACCCATTAACGTCACAGCGATGAAACTTACCCCTAATAATTACTGTCATTAAAACTAAACTGTAAATGATAAAAATAGTAAGAGGACATGTGTGTAAAGTGCCATTACGTCACAGCCAACTTATGGCGACCACAGCAAGGGGCTTTCAAGCCAAGTGGGAAGCAGAGGTGACTTGCCATTGTCTTCCTCTGCAGAGCCTTCCTTGGTGGTTTCCCATCCAAATACTGATGATGCTTTGCTTCTAAGATTTGATGAGATTGGGCTATACCATGCCATCTTCCTTCCCAATAGCAGAATGCCTGTGGTCATGTAAATATCCTTTTTGGGGAACCCTGGTCATTTTGTTTCTACATGATGGGACCCTGGCTCTTTGACAGAGTGATTGGTGGGATGAAAAATACAAAAGATGGAAACCACTGGCAGTTGCTTGCCAATGTCTCAAGATGAGGAAAGCATTTCCTCCAACACCTGGTGCCTAGGAGCTTTTAAGAGAAGATAACCAGGGACTGACAGTACCATCTCCTAAGCAGAGTTACACCCTTCTAAGCCCACTGATTTTAATGGACTTAGATGAGTGTAGAATGGCCCACTTTTTAAAGCTGTTTGAAAGATCTGCTCTAGCTCAACTTCTGAGTTCTGGGCTCAGAGCAATAACTTTAACTTTTTAATTGCCTATGCAAGAAAAAACCTCTATATTTCTTTTTATTTCTGAGACCAGTTAGTACATGATGGTGCATGGGATAGTTGCTTCTGTAGCAGAGTCCATTCTCACACACACCCCCCAATGGAAAATTCCTGCAAAAAATATTTCATCTGAATGCAAACCTCATGTTGGTTTTGCAGGGGAGATCTGTGAGCTGGAGACAACTCGTATTGCTGTTCCTTGATCACAGACCTCTCCTGCCCAAACATCCTGTACCCTGTGTTTCCTTCCAAGAACGTAAGAAAACAAATGCACTGGAATCAGCTTAAGGTCTTCCAAATCTCAGTTTAAGCAAGAGGATGACACGGTTGCAAACGCGGTCTCTATCTGTTTTATTCATGAGCTGGGCTCTGGTTCTTGGACACCATGGATGGATCTTCTCCTAGCCTCCTTGCCATACCTGGAGTGTGGGATCCATGACTGATTGCACAGTGCTTTCCTTTTGAAGAAAACTTATCCTGGATTTCCTATCTTGGTCTCACATGTTCCTCAGGAAAGGGAAGCTGCATGGCTCCATGTGGTTAGGAGAGCAGGATCTTCAGCCTTGTTTCACAGGCTGCGTCTTCAAGTGGGATGTTAAAGCGCATCGTGAATCCAAAAGCGGAGCAGCTCATCCGGGGGCTGCACGTGCACAGACATGTCACACTTCTCGGCTTCCTCTCCCCTGTAGTTTATTATCCCGGCAGGTGATTCTGTTAGTTTCTGTGGAAAGGGGTGGGCAGAAAAGTTTACTAGGGGAAAGGACTAGCAGTGCCATCCTAAGAAGACTTCCTGGGAGTTCTGTCCCATCAAATAACTTGAGTAGGATTTTGGGTAGACCTGTTTAGAACTGCTCGCTAAGAACCTTACACTGCAATGCAGACAGAATGTAGCGAAGGAACACTTAATTTTCAGTACAGCACTTTGAAATCCGTAAAGGGGTGCTTTATAGTAATGCTCTCCTTAATCCTGTCAAGAGTCCTGTGCAATGTTCCCTCTAAGCTGTGGAGTGTTGTGGGCAAAAATTCTCCTTCGTGAGCCAAAAGCACCGGGCCATGAACCAGAAGCATTCTGGTCCACTATAGGGGAAGAACTGTCCTCCGGAGACCAGGTCTACCCGCCCTTGTATTCTGTGGGGGTAAACCTAGCCACCGAAGAACAGGTCTGTATGCCCTGGTCCACTATATTGGTGGACCTGGTCTCTGGAGAACATGTCTACCCATCCGTTTCCATTATATTGGAAGACCTGACCTCTGGAGGTCTACCAATATAGTGGAAAGGGATGGATAGACCTGGCCTCTGACGATCACCCTGCGCTGAGTCTCAAATCTCCTGTACTAAGGGTGTGCCAGAGCCCTTTAGTGCAGCTTAGTGGGAACACTGCCTGTGAGGTAGGCTAGTCTGCAGATCAGACACTGTGAGAACAACTTGCCCAAAGGCTACCCAAAGAACAGACATTTCAAACCTTCTGATTGTTCCAATTTCAGGTGCCAGGCTTTTAAAAATTGTTGTATAAAAGGTATATCATACCTTGATTTTTCCCTTCTGAGTTAGTATTTTATAGCTTTATTGAATCAATTCTTTATCTATTTGATGCATTTTCTCTGGATGCTGCTTCTGAAGACTATGGCAAGGGACGGGGGGGGGGGATCCTAATCTCTTAAATCCAAGTGTGCTAAACAGTTTCTTGCTCAGTATTATTAATATTATTATTAATATTTTTTAAAAGGAATAATTACCAAAGTGTCTGGAAGACCCTCATTTGGGCAACAGGAATACTGGCAGACTTGGCAGGTTTTCCAGGCCAGTAAGAAAAGAATAAAAACAGCCACCACGAAGGCAATGAAGAAAATTGGGGCAAATATCACTGAAAAGGTTTTGCTATCTAAAGGCAAAAAAGAAAGTAAGTTATTAAGGGTGAAAACATTCATGGTGAAGGCCCCACATCTCCATCCATTTAGAAAATGCAAGTGGCAGGCTCAATTTGCATCAAGGACATGAGAAACAGGATAGGGGGTTAACGCTTTAATCACTTAGAGCCACTAATCAAAACTAGCTTTTTATCTAGCACATTTCTACCCTACGTTTCTAGGTCTCCCAGATTTTAGTCCAATTGCTAAAGTTAAACCTTCCTCCTCATAGCTCCAACACAAATGGGGATTGCACAAACCCGCAATTAGCATTCCATTGACTGAGAGAGCTGCCTGACCTAAGGAGGCCAAAGAGACGCTGAAAATAGGAATGGTGGTGGTGCGTTGTCTTTACATGGGGACAATGGAGGTATACTGGTAAAGTGGAGTAGGCTGTAAACCTATCCGGTTTCCCACCCCAATTCAGAGATGCTGAGAATATGTCTTTCCTCAATCATTTTATTGCATTTCCCACTGATATAACACTTGGACCCAGACAGCCCAGGCTAGCTTGATCTCATCAGATCTTGGAAGCTAAGCAGGGTCGAACCATAAACCAGCATGCAATCAGTCACCATGTTTCCCTGAAGGAATGAACAGAAATAACCCCCTTTTAATATGCTGTCAGTTTAGCCACTTTCATTTACTCATAGACTTTTGGGAGCCACTCCATTTCATTTGGCTATGATTGTGGTGTCTGGGGGAATGCAGCCAGCAGAAGGTTCACATAATTTTCTTGGCAATCGGCAAGAGGATTAAACTAATGCTAGAAGAGCCATGATTGGGCTATTTAAAAACAGTAGCTCAGTGATAGAGAATCTGTTTCGCACACAGAAGGTCCCGGGTTCAATCCCCAGCATCAGGTAGTATGTGATGGGAAAGCCTTCTGCCTGAGACCCAGAAGAGCTGCTGCCAGTCTGAGCAAGCAACACTGACCTTGATAGACCAAGGGTCTTACTCAGAATAAGGCAGCTTTGTGTGTTCTTGTGGCTCATTGGCAAAGCTGAACATCTGCTTTGCATGCAGTGGGTCCCATGTTCCATCTCCAGTTAAAAAGATCAGAGAGCAGGTTATGTGAAAGACTTCTGCTTCGGACCCTGGAGAGCTGGTACCAATCATAGTAGACATACTATCTATATAAGGCAAGTTCTGTGGCATCATATGGGGCAGAGGGACTGAGATTGTTCCTTAAGCCACAAACAGCAGTCAAAGGTTCACAAAAGCTCCATTTTCATTAAATGCACCTGCATGTCCCTTGCAAAGGAGCACTGCAACTGGAAGGGCATCTACCCAGTTCTTACCTGCGGCCTTCACACATTGCACCTGGCTGAAATTGCTGCTGCGGTTGATGGCCTCCACGTAGGTTTGTGCTTTGACACAGTATTCGGCCCCAGCTTCCATGGTCTCCAGGTGCACGGTGGTGTTGCTGTCTCTCACGACTTTTTCGTATACCTAGTTTCACAGAATTGGGTAGAGAAAAGGTATGGAAAAGGCCAATACAAACTATCAAAAGGTTGACACTTTCTGTATGCTGAAAGGCTGAAAGGCATGTAAGTTTATTAAGTTATGCAAAACCAGAAAACCATAAATTTTGCTTACAGAAAGAAAACTGTAAGTTGTAAGTGTCTGTACTTTGGAGGCAGCATTTACTAATGTGCAGGTGACAGTGTCCTGGAAGAAAAATATTCTAGAGCCACTCCACTATGCATTCTGGGGGAAAACAGTGCAACCAGGTTGGAAATTCACCCCCACTTAACAGAGATTATTAAGATCAACCCCAACATTTTTGTTTTTTTAAATAGGAAATACTCATGTGTGATTCAGCCCAAGAGTGCAAGTGAGTTCCACTAGTTAATTAAACATTGTGGGAAGAAGTCCTTCTGGGGGCTTCCGGTACGGCGTTTTGATGGGCGGGAGGGAGCTCGATGTGCTCCGTCCCCGCCCGAACTGTTTCTGTTTTATTTGAGCCTCCCGAGGTTCGGGGGTGCTCGACCAGCTCCCCAAAGGTGGGGGCTGGGGCAGGGGGCGTCTTTCTGGCCCTTCCCCGCAAT